GCTTTAGCCTGTCATGTGACAGGCATCATTAGAGCGAGAAAATATATTTTACGAAAGAAACGACAAAATACAAGAAGCTAAAAAAATAAGGGTGGCATGGTACAATCACATTCACTTCTCATACCTAACTTTATAGGCTTTCGAGCCTACAAGTAAATCATATATATCTTTCTAGATGAAAAGTCGTGTCACAAGATAAAAAGTAAAGCATAATGATTATTTCAGACCCCAAATATCCGGTTGTCCATTTAGTCCATTGATTTCCAAAGGAGCCCCTTCTCCATCTCCATCTACTTTCTCCATTCTCTGATACATGGCCGAGCGGCCACCACCCGTTTCACCAACAAAGCTAGAGCCTCTCGCACCTACTTCTTCGTCACTTAAGGCAAGCTTGACATTACCCAACACAGGATTTCCAAATTTCTCGACGTCAGACAAAGCGGTACGGAAGGCTCCCGAATGTTGCTGGACCGCTGCTATCTCCTCGTCATTAGTTTGTATCGCCCGTGGGCAGAAATCAGGATGGTTAAGACACCAGCGGTGCATGAAGATATCAAGACGGCTGTTGTAGAACATGAGAACAATATACCCAGCATATGCTATTAAGAATAGGAGGGATTCGTACCTGAATTGAAGATTTCAAAAAAGGTAGAGAATTAGAGAAGTGTAAAATCGAGGATATAGAATATACAACTCAGGAATATGTTAGTCTATTAGGATAAGTCAGAGAATGAACCTTTTTGTTGGTATACCATCCGGCCGGCGATCGAATGTTACCCTTAGGGCCTGTATTGCCACATGTATCATAATATTGGCGTACATTGACACTTAACCAAAGCTTGACCGCAATTCTCTCTTTCCAACCAGTTTTTCATCAACTAATTTAACATTCTTTGAGGTCATTAGGCCTTGATGATCAGAGCCAAACTTTAACCTTTTGATGACTATGATTTAGGACCAGTATTGCGTAGCGACGCTAACACACACACGCATACACTCGAGCAAAAGTAGCAGGACAAGTATGAAAGATAATAAGCCAAAC